TCTCTCAAGTGTTCCTCTTTTGTCAGGTGCAGACCAGCAGGTGACACACATAATTTTCTTCACGTTAGGAACCTCCTCCTGTGATCCAGCCAAAGTTGCAGGATAGTGAAATGATAAGGGTGATCCAACAAGCATCATACCAAGTGTTACTGAATTCCTGTAGTAATGTGATTTATTCTCCTGTTTCTAAAGAACGCTTTCTCAATATTTAAGTATGGCAAGAATGCAATCCTAATGCAAGACATTTCAGGTCTTGTCACTTGACTCAGGAGTGTGCAGATTCTAATTTTTCAAGTTATTATTACAGCTAGACGAGGGGATTAATTCAAGACTATAAAAATAGGATGTGTTCAGATTACAAAAGTGATTTATTTTAATCAGTTTTCTCAGAATAAAAGAGTTCCCTATCCAAAGCTGAGCTTGTGCACAGTGTGCAATAATTAGCATGTGTAGCCTGAATCTGTTAGCAAAAAGTATTTTCAGTGACTGCTGTTTGGAAATTGGATTAGGTCAGAATAGATTTGCGACAATATACTGTTTAAATGAAAAACATAGATTTTTTTCCTTTTTTGGGGGAGCTGTAAGAACTTACAATATCATGGTCTATAGTATCCTGTTACAAGAACTATTGTAATCACTAAAATATTTACATAGTCCTCATGTATTTACTCAAACCATTTAATAAAAATACAACTTTAAAAATGTGTGCAAATCATCAGCTGTTATTTTTAAAGTTGTTAATTTTCCAAAATATTTGAAATGTCTACTTTCTGAGAATTAAACTCCCTGAAAAATAGTATTTATTCTAGTCATTGGTATTTCCAATGCCCCTTGTAATTAAATGTTTTGATTTGTCACCACAGAACTGTACACTACTTCCTGGTTAAAGAGTATTAACCTCAAGAATTCATACAGTAGCTTAAAACAGCAATAACTACAGCATCTATGAAACCCGCTTGCCTTTGAGACAAGGCAGCACAATTGTAATTCATACTGTATATCTCTATACAACATGAAAATCAGGAAGACAGGAGCATGGCTTAGCTCTAAAACACTGATTGAAGTTGTTCCTGTAATCCTTAATTAAATAAAACTTATAAGAGTGAAAAAACACATATGTTTGTAAGACTTCAAAGCATGTTTTTCATGTCCTCTAAATTAATTTTAATTCTGAATTACAGGCTATACTCTTTGACACGTGCATTTGCTCTATCCCTGGGCAACAAAGGTGCCAATTACCACCGACAGTCATTGTATTTTTAAAATTGTATTTTCTTTTATCAAGATCCAAGTCATTTGTATTATAAAAGGATTCCCTTGGAATTTAACATCAGTGGAAAGTGATAATTATTACATTCATTTGTCAATGAGATCTAGTCTAATATGGTACTAATTAATTCATGGCAATTTTCTACACTATAGAAGCATTTACACATGCATTATTTTTCATATGATTTATGTTTAGAGCCATCCTAGATGTGTAATTCAAAGATTCAGAAAGTTACATAGAAAACAGAATAGAAAAGGCAAAATTTGTATTGTACAGTAAGTAAAAGAAAATCAAGGCACCATAAAGATTCAATATAAGTTCTGGAATGGACTGTCTAGCAATATAAAGAATAAAATTAATGAAAAATAATTTTAAAAATGCATTTTTACAAATTCATTCTGAATAGATTCACAATATATTTAATAAACTGTTTATACAAATACATTAAGAAAATTTCATAGTGCGAACCAAAAAAGACACTTAATAAGAATGATCATACTGTATGTGTACAGATTTTGGATAATGATTGATCATGAAGAATTGGTCTTGTATTACTGACAGTTACTCAAGTAACGCTGAAAGTTGATTGGGCACTAGTGATGAGGTGATTTAACCTGTTTAATGTCAAGAAAGAAAAATGCAGAAATGAGCCAATATATCCTACTTATTAAGGAAACACCTTCGTACCATTGTTATATTGGAAGTCAGCATCATCTGGGTTTTGTCGATATGAAAAATTTTAGGCCACAGTTTTGGGGGTCAGAATCTTGATACCACACCATGATCAATGAGAAGGTCCAGGTGTGCTGGTCTGGTCAGGAGTGTCTAGTGGCCCCAGAATTTCACTCATAGTTATTGATAGCAAACATATCGCATGGCACTCCGTAGATCAAGTCCTCAGACCTGACTTGAAGGCCTTTCTTCGGGCTCATCCTGACATGACACTGCATGATGCAAAGTCCTAATGGTATAACAGGAGCTCTCTCAAGAGAGTTATATCAAGGATGCCTCATAAGACTTTAGCTCCATTGAACATTTATAGGATGAGCTGGATTGACACAAGGCTGGGAGATACATGAAGAGCCACATGCTTGTCCAGGCTTTTAAAGAGAAACAGCACAGAATTCCACAAGGCAGCATCATAGACTGGAAAAATTCAAGATTACAATTTACTGCGTCCAACAAGAGATCTGGGC